GACCCCCCCCCCCCCCCCCCCCCCCGCTTTGTCTTGTTATTAGTTCAATTTTGTGGGGAAGATTTTGGGACCTCAGGGCAACACAATCAAACGGCTACAGGAAGAGACTGGAGCCAAAATCTCTGTGCTGGGCAAAGGATCCATGAGAGACAAAACCAAGGTATGACACACACACACACACAGACACACACACACATGTTAAAAACCTAGGAGGCACTTAAAGCCATAAGACATCTGGCCTGTACTTGAGAAGGATGGCAGGCAGTGAGCCCAGATGGCATCAACTCGTAGGATAGCTCGGCTGAACGTAAATGTAAAGCCAAGGGCAGCTACGCTCCGTGCAGCTGTTCCAGGAATCTTTAGGGAAGCCCATGAAACCTGTTCTCCACCAGTTTGTGATTATTAAACTATATAAAGATAAGGAATGAAACACACATGCCTGATGCCTTCTGAGGCAGATGAAACACGATAAGTTCTTGAATCATTCGTTTAATCTGTGTTGCGTTAGCCGCGTGCTCTCTTTGACTTGTGGAAAAATCCTGTGCGCTTGTTTCAGGAGGAGGGGCTGAGAAAAGGCGGCGAGCCCAAGTACGCACACTTGTCCATGGAGCTGCACGTGTTCATCGAGGTGTTCGCCCCCGTGCCCGACGCCTACCTGCGTATGGCACACGCCATGGAGGAGGTCAAGAAGTTCCTGTTCCCAGTGAGTCCTATTTGCTGTTGGCTTGTTTTTGTCTGTTCTCATTTGTCCGCTCGCCTGTATGAACTGAGCAAGAGCTGCAACTAACAACCATTTTTTTGGTTGCTTAAGCAATGTCTTTTAGACAAGAGGAGTTGTTCAGAGTGGAGTTGACTGCTTGACCATATAAACTGCAATTTGAAATGTCCTCATCCATTATCCTGCTGTTTAGTTCCCAAGCTGTTTGGTCTATAAATGTCATGTGAAAAACCCTACAGTAATATAATTTCCTTAAGTCAATGTTGATATTTTCAAATACCTTGAGTTTTTTCCAATCAATACCTTAAAACCCTAAAAGGACTGATTCACGTAAGATGAGGAGAAGTTGGAATCAGGGAATGTTTGCTTGAAAAATGATGTAAAAGATTGAATTTCAAATTACTTTATTAATTGTCTCCTCGATGACTTATCAATTGATGCCATGTACGGCTTTAAAATAAGTTTGTGGGATCCTGCTGGATGAAGTGTTTTTAGCGACTAAGGGTCACCTGTCAGAAAGGTGAGCAGTCACAGGGTGTGAATTAGACGCCGCCCTGGGAGGGGGTCCCAGCGGTACATCTCGAGGAGATGGAGTGGGTGTTCACCTGGAGCAGACAGACCCCATGGCACAGTCTAGGCACGTAAAGCAATCAGCTTAAGAGGAGGAATTGGGTTGCTTTCACTGTGTCAGCAGGGTTACCCCATCATGTGGTGCGCCTGCATGTCTGTCCATCACTGTGTCTTTACCCGAGTCTCATTCTTCAGCGACTGAGAGGAGTCAGCCAGGAGATGCACGACTCCGAGACAGATATGTGGGCTTTATTGGTTTTATGCTGAGAGGTTCTTGAGCACGGGCCAAACCCGATCTGCTGTCAAACCCCGGCCGAAGCCCATAGTGCTGGAACAATGGCTCTCGCCTGGGGGTTTGTGAGATGCCTTACATTTTTTAATTAGTCTGGATGGTTCTTAAGGAGAAAGAATAAGTTAAAACCAGAGGCGGGATGAACTGACTGATGAAGCAGCTGCAGTGTTGATTCTGCCATGTTATGTGAAAAGCAGAACTTGTAGAATTTAAGGCTCTAATCTGTTGGGCTTGATGTCCCTCATTTGAAAGAGGACATATTTTAATGAGTGACTCAGAGAATTGGTGGATGTGACTTGTTGGAGAAATGTTTTATGTATTACCTGTACTTCTCAGGTATTCCACTAGGCTTTGACGACTGTTCCCTCTCATCCTTTCTATGCCCGTGTACCCGCTTGTCTGCAAATGTAAATGCAAAAACAGAGCCTCGCTCTGGTGTGAATGATTTGCATAGCTTCTTATGCGTCGACACTGACAATTTTTTTAAAATGAAATATCGTCCATAAGATGTAACGTGTAAAGAAACCTCATTAATCTAAATACCTCGATGGGTGAAGATATGCCACCTCACTGGCTCATTAACTGCAACTGCAACCACACGGTTACTGTCGGAGATGAATTTGTAATCAGTCAAAAACAATTTGACTGATTACATTAGTTGTTTTTCTGCTTGTGTTGCATTGAGAAAAACTGAAAGCTGCAGTATGTGCTGCATATTCCATCCACCTTTCCCTTTCACCATTGTTAGTGCTCTGTCACCACTCCAGTCCAGGGACTGATTTATGCAAAAGGATTGATTGGGTCACTATGTGCCTCTTGTGATTGGTCCCTGAAGAAAGTCGGCGGATTGTGTTGCTGGATTTGTGCTGCTCCGACAGGCAGCCACGCTAATCCACCACCAACTTATTGTTTTTTGCAAATAGAATAAGGTAACCGCTGATGCAGTCATACCAGACTTGTCAGGAAGTGCAGGCAGAAGTGATTTACATTTTGTGCATGATGGAGAGGAACAGGAAGGCGGGGAGTGAGGATGGATGGTTTCCAACCTCCCACATTCACGACCCCCCTCTCTCTTCACACTCTGACTCACTGGCGCTGAGACTTTTTCTTCCACTCGCTCTGTTGGCCATTAGGGGGATGCCTTGTTTTGATCTGCTCAGTAATTGTGTCTCACTCTTTTATTCATCATTCCTCCTTCCGTGCTTTTCTTCCCTCTCTTTTTCATCTGCGTGGCTTCACTTTTCCCATGTCACATGCTCTTGTTTCTCATACTTGCTCATGTCTTTTTTATTTTCTCCCCCTGTGTGTGTGTGTGTGTAGGATATGATGGATGATATCTGCCAGGAGCAGTTCATGGAGATGAGCTACCTGAACGGAGGCCAGGAGCACGGGGCCCGGGGTCGAGGGGGCATGCCGGTCAGGGGCCGCGGGATCCCTCCTGCTGGAGCACACAGGTGAGGAGATGCAAACACATACACAAACAAACACATACACTTTCTCATATAACAACTGCTGGGTCAGAGAGGCAATACAAAGACACTGCTGTTCATCTGCTACTGTATCTATACATTAATGAAAATGCTGGAGTAGATTCATATTTACTCCTTTTTCTTTAACTGTGTAGTATTTGTGTATGTATAAGCTGATGGACAATTTGTGGATATTGGTAAGCTTTTTGACAAAGAATACCTTCGAGAATACAAGACATACTGAATCAAATGTTCCGAACAAATGGGTCTTCACACAAAACGTTGAGAATGGTAAAAGTATTACAGTAATTTAAGTTTTCATTTACCCATTATCACCTTTGGTGCCCTCTAAAGGAACCTGAGCATTAAATGAAAAAAAAAAAAAAACAATGTTCACCAAAACCTCTATTTCTCAGTTTCTGATTGAAACTTGAAATGAAAACAGTTTGAGCTTAAACCTTTGGCTTTTATTGTAAACCATTTCCTTTGCCCCGGAAACTGGATGTGACTGGAAACAACAAGCGCATTTGTCAACATATTAAGTATGTTGACAGCTTATTGATTTTTTTTTTTCATGTTGATGAAAACGCAGGCAAAGGCAATGACTTATAATAAAAGCCAAAGGTTTGAGCTTGCGAAGGTTTTTAGTCCATGTTTCTATGTGCTTCAGAGACTCAAACACAAAGGTTTAACTGACCCTGTAACCTGCTGTACTGGGTCAATCTTTTACTTCTGGCTTGTGGTCACACTGGCTCTTACTCACCAAAATCGTACCCCCTCCCGTCTCTCAGCCTGAGCTTCAATGAGCTCAACTGGCTTCAAACACTGACACAGCGGCAATATCGAGCTCGAAATGAAGATGCATGCATGTGTTCCATCTGGTCTTAAAGGTTTTAAAGAATAGTTTGACATTTTGAAAATGCACTTCTGTTGTAATTGGACGAGTGCATCAATTCCATAAATGCATCACTGGAGCCAGCAGCTGGTTAGCTACGCTATAAGACTTGAAACATGGGGAAATGGCTACCCTGACCAGCTCCTGTAAAGCTCAATAACTATTATTTTAACTAACAAGATATAGCATGCTAATTAATGAGCTTTAAAGGTGCTAGGCTAGATGTTTCCCAGTTTCCAGGCTTTTTGCTAATCTATTCCCACATCTTTTTCCACAATATCAAACTGTACAGTAGTAACTCTGATCTTTTCCCCAGGGGTAGGGGAATGCCTCCTCGCGGTGCTGCCACCAGGGGAGGTGTGACTCGAGGTGGCCCAGTGAGGGGTGCCCCAGGAGGCCGGGGAGGACCCCCTGCAGCACCTGCCAGGGGAGCTGCGGCACCCCGTGCCCGGCCCCCAGCTGCTGGACCTCCCCAGAGGATGGCCCCCCCTCATCAGCACTCAACCACCACTGGCCCAGAGAGCTACGATGAATACGTAAGTACAACTTACAGTGAAGGGAGGTTTTCCTTTATTCATTTAGTTAGTACTTGTATATTTCAGGAAAATATAGTGTAAAGGCCAAAAGACTAGTTTTGTGGTAAAGATGTGATGCAACATTTTAATGTCCCTCTCCAACACGCTTCCACTCTGAATGAAATTGTTTTGGGCACCCTAATAGCTTTAAACATCCCGTCCATCATCAGAGGAAAGAGTGATCTCAGATGCTTGAAACATAAGGGGAACCTGTCTCCTTTAGCAGCAGTCTAGCAATTTGGGGACATCTTGACATTGATGATTCATGGACAAGTCTCTCCTGAAGTCTCACTCTGTTTCTCTGTTTCCTTTCCTCTCCAGGGCTACGACGAGAGCTACACAGACACGACCTACGAGTCATACGACAGCTATTACAGTCAGCCGCAGGCGTGAGTGAATCAGATGTCTCCTTAGTTTTCAGCCACTCCTCACAAACTGCTCACACATCACCAGGTTGCTGGTTTCACTTGAGATGGGAGTTATAGAAACACTGTTTGGCCCTTCTGCACAAACACAACATTGATGGTTTCGTTAGGAGGAACCAGCCGGGACTCAGATGTTCCATGTTATAGAGCCAAGCTTTGATCTTAGTGGAAGCCAATTATCATCCCCCTAGACATTAAAATCAGCAGCTACTTGATGTTTTTCAAAGATTAAAAGTTTTTTTTTTTCATCTCCCTGTTTGTTTGACCATCAGAGAGCCAGAATACTTTGACTACGGACACGGAGAGACAACAGACTCCTACGAGTCGTATGGTAAGGGAATAATTGAATTCTCTGTCAACAAAGATGATCAAATTTGTACAGTAAAAAAGATGCTGAATACAGGAAGTGTAGAAACAAACACGACCAAAAGCCGATATGAATGTGTGTGTTTATTTTGTCTCTGTGTCCATCTCCAGGCCAGGATAACTGGAACGGGACCCAGCAATTAGGTCCAGGAAAGGCCCCTCCCCCTTCCAGAGGTGCCAAGACGCCTTACCGGGAGCACCCATACCGACAGTACTGAAGCAGACTCGCCACCCCTAACGTGTCGCCCTGACTACCGCCTGTCTCCCACGGCAGCTCTTGCTTTAAGCAGCCCGACAAAAGTAATTGTCCGTTTTGTCTTTGGTTTGGTCTTTTTTCCTACACCGGACTTAATACGAGAGAGCAAATTGGGAACTGAAAATCGGAGCTGGTTTTTGAGATTTGACCCTGAACTCCCTCCCCCACCCCCCCCTTTGTCGCACCAACCAACCAACCACCCACCCATCCATCCAACCAACCAAAGCGGCTTTTAGATGGGTTAGAGAGAAGTTGGCATCCGTTTTTTGTTCTCTTTCATTTGAATTTTTGTTTATGTTGCTGTATACTTTCTCTGACCTTTTTTACCCCCCTCTGGCTTTTTTGCATTGTTGATCATAAATTTTTTAACTGTTTGGGAGTAATCGTTTCTAGTGGAATTAGTGGCTCATTACCCACTTGTCTAAGGAATCCATATTAATTGTTTTTAAATACAAAGAATCTGTCGAGGGTCAGTTGCAGATTCCCATTTAGGCTACATTTCAAAATTCTGTTAATATAGCCAAATAAAAGACCTTTTAAACTTCCAATTATGTAATATAGAAACAAAAAAGTCAATCTTAAATCAAGTGAAGGTTAAAGAATCAATGTTAATGGAATCAGTACAATTCATTCTTGATGATGGTTTGTTTTTAAATAGTTCTAAAACGTTGTCCATTTAGCCTTAGGCAGCAATATTTGTTATTGTACTTAGAGTTTTGAAATATAGCCCTAATAGACACTGTTGAGATGGACTGTCCTCATATCCTCAATTTGTTTTAAAAGGTTAATTTTAAGATTCTGAAGACAAAATGTTTGTTTAATAAGAACACGGCCAAGAGATGGCCACCTGTTATGCTAAAAACAGATCAGGTCTTCATTCTGTGATCTGATTCTCTATAAACTGCATGCACAAAATACTCAAAGAAGGATTGGGACAAAAATCTCCACATGGGTCTTCTCTTTCTATAGAGAAGGGATCCTGCAGCTCAATCCGAACTATTGTACATATTTTAAAACTAACTGTACTTATTCTGCCACTAGTATCTGTACCCTCTCCATAAAATGCATTATGCTACATGTGTAAGCTTGCCTAAATAGGTTACTAAATCTGTCCAAAAGATGTTTTGCAGCAGTTTGTCAATAAAGCTTAGTTTGTTTTTTATGAAACTTAACTTGCTTTATTTGTTTCCTGTCCTAGTAAAATTCTGAAATTGCCTTTTTTAAACAACCTTCAGCAGTCAGATGTAGGTGTTTTGCTTTGTTTCTCATTCAAAACCGCATTTTAAATCTAAATGAATGTATTGACGTCTGGAGACTTTAACCCTACTAAATGATGTCTTGATTGATTATCAAAAGAGCACAACTTATTCTTTCTCTCTCTTTCTATACTTTTTAAAAAGGACCCAGAGGTAAGACCTCTAAAATAACCTGGATAGCTTCCTAATGTGTATAGAGTTCTAAAGCATTGAATGCCTGGGTATGTATAAGACTTTTTCAATCCTCTTACCTGTGGTCGTAATCGTTAATGAGAATTGCTTTTATAGCATCTGAAAATTAACTGAATTCAAACCACCACCATTCAGGTCTAGGCTTCGTTGTCATGAATGACGCTGGCGCGATGGCTACTTTAGTACAGAGTAATGGCAGTGCAATGGAGAGGATGGTTATAACCTAGAGAACTCCACTGTAAAGGTAACCTAACCCTAAATGTTTAATTTCGTAGTGTGTTTATCCATTGACATAAACTTGCTGGTAAATGCGTACACTTTCTTAAAATATTATTGCAGTCATGGCAACAAAAAAGAATCGACTCAAAAGTAAGACAAACGTAACTTCCAATATCATACAGTAGTGGATTTTATGTACCAAAATAACTGTTCTGTGTACTAACAAAATATATTAGCATAGTGTTAATGCAACTCATGCTAAAATGAAAAAAGCCAAATCTATATCAATCTCTTCTGTACAGTTGAGCTGCTGTTACTTTTTTCATTTGCTGTGTAAAGGTTGCTTACTGTAATATTGAAAAGGTTCTGCCTGTACAAAGTTATCCAAAAAAGACAGCTTGAGTTGCATGAGCATATCTTCTCCTGTAGACGTTGCATGATCTCTGTCTCAAGTTTCTCTCAGTGATTTTAGACAAGATATTGATTTGGGGTTTGTCCTTCCTTCAGGCACAGCCATCGGTCACTGAGTGCCCAGAGACTGACAGTCTGCTGAAGTGAGACCATACAAAGCTCAGGTTGGTTCACTGCTGCATGTTTCTCTTTCTTTGCATGTCCTCACCTCATTAACTACACGCTCCATTTTTTTCCCCATCACTGCTATCCATACAGCAACGTTTAGATTGAAGTTTCTATCTTCCAGGCAGCCGTTAGTATCCATTCATGTTTGAGTAATAGGAAAATACCTGCATAGATGTGAGACTTACATGGAATGTGTCGTCGTCGGAGAACAAATCCAGCTGCTTTATTGATTTATCAAAGCTTCATTGCTTTTGTAGCAAACTGAGCTTTTTTTCTGACTCTTTCCCAATTGGTGCATTCATTCAGATTGGAATGTCTGGTCCGAGGCAGCAGCGTTTTTTAAAAGGAATAGCGCAGCATTTTTGGAAAGCTTATTCACATTTTCATTTACAGTAACTGTTAGCCTATCATTAGGATTGAGAATGGAGAAGAACCTAGCCTGCCTCTTGTCGAAGTTAGCAAAATCTGCATCACAATTGGGTTATTTTATTCATTAAATAAGAGATAGTGTGTCACTAGGTTTAGGCAGGTAGGTAGATTTTTGGGTTTTTTCAACAGCGCCAGGCTAGCAGTGTTCTGTGCTACAATGCTGTGAATCCTTTTTCATCTGCAATCAAAACCTATAGAGAGTTTTTAGTCCCTGCTTTCAACACTTAAGTTGGCGGACACATTTCCCCCCTGTGGGAATTAACCAGTTCTAACCGTATAAATCATACACAATTGTTAATGGTCTAAAACATTATTTCCCCTAGTATGGTCCTTTAACTTTTTTATTTTTCAGCCTGTGTAACAGAATGCAGCAGCAGCAGCAGCACATTAGTGAAATTCACAGCATTTCAAAGGTTGGTTGATCCTGATGATTGCCCAGCTCCTGTTAAGTCGCCTTGCTTTTGACAGTGTCTGTGAATTGGTGTGTGGCCACTCTAGCCTTCAGCAAGTCTTAGTGAGGGAGAAAGCCGTGGTGTCAGTGCAGTCTCAGGGAAAGTGACTAATGAGGATCTGTAGGCTCAAGGCTCTCTGACAGAAGGAAAACAGTAGCGAGAGAGACTCTAGAGATTCCCGAAATGGAACCAGCAGGAGGGAAGAGGTGTCAGAGGGATTTCTCATGATGTCCTGTCTGTGCCTTGAAGGCAGGAAAAAGTTAAATGAAGGCTCGGAAAGTAATGCTTGGTGGACAGACTTTTAGGAAATGTCACTGTCATTGGCATTTTAGTTGAGTGAAGCTGGATAACAAAACTGTCTGAGGGCATACTTTGGGATGTGTTCTGACAGAAAGGTCACTCACTTGTTAGAAGATTGTGTTCTACAAGACTACCACTAGTTTTTAGAAATGTTAGAAAAAGGAAATTCTTTGTAATAACAAAGCAACGCAGCTTTTTCTGAAATCTCTGAGCAAAATTCTAGTGACTAATAATGACAGACATGCTGCTTCGTGTCCAGACATTAGAGAAACCTTGAATCGTGAGACAGTGTCAGGGCCTTTCTTTAAATTTGCTGTTATGTTCAAAGCTGCTGGAAAGTACCCGACAACCGCGACCTGTTACCACTTTAGCTGTTGATTGAAATATTAATGCACTAACCCCACAATCACCTGTCTCGCCAGTAATTTTGTCTCTCTAAGAAAAATGTTGCCTAGCTACTGTTGAAGAGCTGGGCTGCTTGGCAGGAAAATGACCTTTAATTATTACAGCCGCAGCTTAAAAATCAAATTAAAAAAGTGGTCTCTTTGTTTCGCTAAGCACTGCCTCTTATCTGTCATTAAATCGCCATAAAGCCAACAGAGATTTAGTGATCGGGGAACCTGCTATCACGCTAATGCCAACATCTACCCTGTGCTTTTTGCAGGAAGGCCATGCACGGGAGCAGCCCATCATGAAGGAGGTGGTTGGACGACTCTCTCTGGGCCCCCTGTTGAAAGGAGCCCATTTCTGTTCCTGGCTGGGGAGGGGGGCTGTGGTGGCTGACTGCCAACTGACCCACAGGTGCCAGCTGGCCCAGACTCCCAATGAAAAGGACTGAGGCTGCAGCTGGTCAGCGAAGACACTCCGCTCAGTGGAAACCCAGAATAACCACAGACTGACAAACAGCTCTCGTTCTACATGGACTGTTTCCTACTGTTTCTACGTTTCATGTCAATATTGAATTACCATGCATTATCCTTGTGTAATTATTTTCAAACATTGAATACACCCACTTGAAGCCTTTGCTGGTGGCATTCTGCCGTACAGTTTCCCGTGGACCACCCCCTCTTTCAACAAATGTAATTGTTACAGCCTAATTCACCATAAAATGAGCACTCCTGTTATAGTAAGCTGTGAAATTGTTTTTAATTTCTATTAACACTTGAATTAAATGTGAATTCAATCATTTGAATTTTTGCAAGGCAAGCTGTATTCAAGAAGAATCACTCGACATCTGCATTTTAAGTATTTAAATTAAAATTAAAATTACACACTGGGTTTAAAAGTTAAAGATACCCAGAGAGTGCGGATCACTATCTTGCTGCGATTACGTTCACTGTGAGCTCACGCACGCCGCCACATCTTGGCATTGCACGGCCTGTGTAGCCCTGAGGATATCAAATGCTAATGCATCGGCCCATTTGCATGTGCTCGCATGTGCCCTCCTTGCAAATGTGCAACACTTTCATAACCAACGCTGGCCTGTTCTCAGCATTTTCGCATCCAAGTATGATAATTAAGCAAGATGGAGCCGTGGGGATTGCCGCTTGTGAGAAAGGGACAAAGGGCGAAGACAGACATTACTTACTTCCCTTCATCTATCCATCATGCCTCTGTTGATCTGATTCCCCTCCATGCCATTTTCTGCCATTATCACGGATATTACAGCTGCCTGTGGTGCTGAGTTACATTTGGAGGTCAAAACTGTACTTTCCTGTATTAAAAACAAATCTCTGTGTCCCGATCCACTGATCAGAGGCAGCATTAGCCGAGTCAGAGGCTCCGTTTAGTGTATTGAAAAAGGTAGCAGCTTAGAGGATAGAGCATTGGATATTAGGAACGGGCAACAGGCACAAATAACTTCATGTGCTATTACGTCAAAAGTAATGATTTCTTTGTCTCCAATAATTTAATGAAGGATAAGCGATGGTGTGGAATCCGTCTCCTTTGTTTGAATCGATGAACTGTCAAGAGTGTAAAGGGTGAAAAAGAAAGTAAATGTTACTGTGCAATGATCAATAAAGGCCGACTTGGATATGAGCGAAGCTGTGTATCATTCGTCTGTGATGTTGCTTCTTGGCTGCAGCTCAGCTCTTTCTACCCCGTTCACATAATGCTACATGAGAACGTATAGAATAAAGATAGAGAAAGGAGGCCAGAACGCATTGTCTTTCCGAGCCTTGTTGGCGGGGGTGGAGGATGTTGAGGGTTGGGAGGAAATTCAGACTACGGAGGCTGGTGCGTTAAAACGACAAGTATGTGTTGTTGGCGGAGATGCAGTGGGCGGACTTGGTGGACAGCTGGATTGCATCTTTCACACCATCGGAGGAACATCGCACGCTGATGCCTGAGAAGACGGTGACAATTAGCCTCCTCCAGATACACCACAGCTGCTGTTAAATCAGGAGGGGCAATGATCTGGGTGACTCATGGGACTAAGAATGGAGAGAACTGACCCCCTGAGTGTCCTTGATCTCCCAGGGACATTGAAGGGGATGGTTACTATAATCAGTGGTCTGTGTTCTCTTGGTTCACACAGTAGAAATATAACAGAAATGCTCATACTTCTTTTGGTTTTCAGATAATTATTTATTGATGATTAAAAACTAAGCTGAATAGAACAAAAAAGAAATTCATTCAAAACTTACTAAACTACACGACCCCATGCAACTACAATTTGATTCCATCCTAATTCCTGTAGTCAAGTAGCACATATCCCTTTATTATTTTGCAACCAGTG